TTCGCTTTTTTTTCTTTTTGGCTATTCTTTGTATAATTATTACATAGAATAAACCCAAAATAATTTCAACCTGCATCATACGATTTCACTGCATGTTCCTCTCTCGATTAACCACTATTGTTCCTTCGGCATCGATCGAAACTTGTTTTGGAAGTGGTCTGGGAAGGATTTTTACCAAATAGCAAACTTGTTAGCCTGGATCAACCATCCTGCGGAAGACGTATACACGACGAAATAATCGGATGCAAATTCTTTGGTTCACCGAATTTAATGGTGCCATAGTTCGCCTCGGTGTCACAAGAATCCGTTTATATCCTGAAATTCATTAAATTAATCGCCACTTGTCAACAATCGTATGTCATCTACCTAATTAGTATTGTAATCAGTTTGCACAACATTCACAACTGCTAATTAGATTCTTTCGCCTTATCGCTATCATTTATTTGATCTTGAGTGTAAATATTTCATTGTCGATGCTGTATAGCTAAATCCTTGTTTACGCGTTTCCTCCCTTTTTTCATGATCCCAGACACCATTTTAGGGGTATCATCTTCTCTATTTACATTCTTACTTTTCCGTGTCAAACTCATTTCATCGGAGAAAACTTATATTTCTTTCCAAATTACGTATCTTGCGCCCGAACCTTTGCAACTTCTGGAAAAAACCATCGAACACAAAGGTTGTAAACGGAATTGGATGATAGGAAATAGTTTCTGCTCACGCTTATCTTTGATCCGCTTTGCGAACGGTGAGATTTTCATGCGTTTACCGTGAAACCTCTTCCTCCCGTCGATTTTATCACACTCTATGTCTTACCAATTTATCCCCAAATATAAAATCATTTCCATAAATTGCATTGCCTGGATAAATCAAGGATGGTCGATATTTGAACTTTCCCACGATAATACCACGATCTCCATGCGCATTTATCCCACACGTGCCTAACATTTTTACACTGTGGCTGTACGCAATGATCCCATTGTCTCCCAGGAATGCGTCATGGGTAGGTTGGTGTTGGATTTTCGAATCAACCCATGATCACTTGACTCCCAAATGAAAACTTCCTTTCACGTTGATTCTGTGGACTGTCGATGATTCAGAAAAGAATTTTTGCGCTCTTACGCCATTCTCGGGGGCACCTTACGAGAGTGTCCGATCCGCAACTGATTTTCTGGGGTCAATCAAATTGTGACTGGCTGGACCGTCGCCTTTCATGTGTGATCGTCTCTACAAGGGTCAGGTGATCTCTTATCAAGTGATCATGACGTTAGGATGCATAACGCAATGACGATGCTTCGGTGAGAT